TTTTCCTGTCTGTCTAATTTTTGTCATTCCTCCTTGATTGCCTTATTTTAAGGATAAATTTTCAGAACTATATTTTTATTTAAAAATACTAATATGCAATAATCTAATTACTTGGTTTATTCTGGCTGTTATTAAATGTAACAAATATTATTTACTAATCACTTGAAATGCAAATAAAAAAAAATTCCTTTTGTAAGAAACTTAAATAATGTCTTTGTACAGCTTTTATAATCAATCCCAAATTAGTAATTTGTTGTTCTGTTATCTATGATTTCTGAGGTGGAATCAGTAGAGTGTAACTTAACATTTAATATAAAAGCCTATAGTTATTTCAGTATATGTTACAAAATAAGATGCTTGAAAGTTTTGAAAATCTGTACAGATTAACCAAACTGTTTATTTAAGGATTTCCCTGTGTTGCACCAGGCATTTTTCACATTTCTTGAAATCACTCCATCAGGCAATAAAGAATTCTCATTTTTCTATAAATTTCTGGATAGCTATATGAATCTGGCAAAATTAAAAAAAATGCAACATGTTCAACAAGATTTGTGATGGGGTAGTCTCAATCCTTTTCTTTTTGATTCCTGCATATCACATTATTACTAGTCAAAAAATGAATCCATCATTTATCATAATACCATGTTTGTTCTCTGGAATTAAACTTTCACTGATTTATACAATTTTAATTATGTATATTCAAAAAATGATGGGAATGTGGTGGTGGGGGTAATAAAATGTTAAAATATATATCGCAAACATTGAAGTTAGTATTAATATGTAGGTATTATTTATGTAAACCCCAATGTGGGTGTAAAACGAACTGAATCTTTCTGTCAAGGCTGGTCAACCAAAAATCTTTTTGAAGTAAAATTAACATTTGTGAAATCTTTAATATTCTTTTGCTAATACAAGTTGCCTCTTGTTACAGAATCTGTTTGTATAAAATGTAAAAGTTTTTTTGTTTTTTTTTCTCTCTCATTCATCATTTTGGTATGACCAAAAGAAAATTCTGTCTTTGGTGGGAATAAAGGAAAATAATATGGATTTTACCAAGAAAAATTATAAAAATGAACAATGTTTATCTAGTTCAGTCTTCTGTTTTTTCATTTAGTTAGAGAGTAAATATATCTTCTTTGTTTGACCGATCTTTCTCTGTTCAAATAAATTAAGGGCTACTCGCCCCCATAAAACATTGAGTTTTGTATGTTTCCATTTTTAATACTACTACTAATGCTAGAAGATACTGACAGCTTGTTTGTTACAGGTGAGTATCTTCAGATAAGTCAGACTAGGTTTTCATGCTTTGTTTCCATGGTAAACGTGCCCCCCCCAAAAAAAAAGGATGGGCAGGGCGTTGTAATGGATCTGAGTTCAAATTCTAGTTGGGTTTGTTACATTCACTTACAGCCTAATACTCTTAAGAAAAGTATGAATCTACATCTCCCAGCTATGGGTTAAATAGGACTTTATCTGGAAAAATGATCACTTGAAAATTGTTCCTGCAATATTCACTTACAAAAAAAAAAAAGTATAACTCAAATGTTTCAGCTTTAAATAACTTACAAAGAGTTGATGAAACATTAAAAAAAGAATCTAATCTTTAATCACCCCCTGAAAAAATCTTGCATACAAAGTTGAGGTATATGGTATAAGATTTACCCAGAGACCATATACTACCAGTAGTTCTACTTTGCTTAGCTCCATGACACGCTTGTATTAAATGCAAATTAGGTAGGAGTCCATCAAATATGTTACTTGGTATAAAGTATAGCTTCTCAGTAAATTCAGTTGAGTGGATAACTTTCTGTACTTGGTTTTTAAAAAAAAAACAAAAAACATTCAACACTGATATGATGTTTCTGAATTTCTTCATTTTTTCATTTTGTTAAGCATAACAATCTACTGAACTCTTGAAAATAACTGTACAGATATTAGCTTTGATTAAACAGTATACACTTTATTTAAGCTACTGTTAATGAGGCATTGAACCATGGTGTCTGTTCCTCCCAGAGTCAAAACTGACACTGAAGGCATGTAATGTTACCTACCTATTAACTCACAGGTCCTTTTAAATCTTGATACTGGTCACAAGTATATATCTCAGCTGAGTAATTTGCTAAATGGCTATTTTGGAGATCTTAACCATGTGGTATACTTTTGATGCCTTGTGTATTTGTACATTAATACAGTGAAACAAGAGTGGGTTTATTTTCTTGTGTAATTAACATGTGATTTGGGAATTTAATTGATTACAGGTTGAAAGTTCATAAATTTAAATAAATTATCCATAGTGTAAATTTTTATCATTTTAAACATTAGTTTTTAGTGGCTACCTATTTTTGAGTAGACGTTCCATTTATTTATTTATTTATTTTTTTTTAACAGTATATTTATTTTTGTCTACTATCCTTGAATATTCAAGAAGTCCTATTAAAGAAAAATGTGCATCTTCTGGCAGGATTTAAACCTGTGTACCCCTTTGCAAATGAAATCGTTAGATCTGCCGAGCTTTTAACTGACTCTACTACAAAGACCGTCATTGATTATGCAAGGTTCTATACATCCTTTTAAGCACATCCCTCTCCTTTCGATTCCCAAAAGTTCATAACTGTTATATTTCTTATCTGAAATGTAAACAAAGTAATTCCTAAAGAAGTAAGGGATTTTTAATTTATTAATCACATATTTTTACTTTAAACATTATTTTAAGTGGATACCCATCAGCTTGGAATGAGAAATTGGTAGAGGTGATTTCAAATTCCAGTTGGGTTTGTTACATTTACTTTCATACCAAATACCCTTGGTAAAGGTGTGAATCCATCTCTTCTCCCCACAGCTATGGGTTGAATAGCAGAACAGACTGGGTCCTATTTCGTTGTTTGACATCTAGTATGCCACAGAAACAGCAACCTATTGTGGGAAAATTTTCTGCCTTATCAGACATGATTCAAAAAAGACCTGATTGTCAAAATGTGTGTTGTGCATGGCATTTAACTAACCCATATTTGAGTAGATGCACGTTTATATTTTAAACTGTATATTTATTTTTGTCTACCTCCCTAATTGAGAAATCTTATTAAAGAAAAAATGCACCCTCTGGAATCATTTGAACCCGTGTCCCCCTTGGCAGGAGAAACTGTTGTTAGATCCAACTTGCTTATATGAGGATATTTATTTTGTAAAATTACAAAATTGTGGCACAAAGCTGAAGGGGGGTTTTTCTAAGTGTAGCTTAAATGTGGCAAAAGGCTGAAATTGTGAGACAAGCTTGCAAACCATTACAACACCAAGGTGCCTGATTTGTTTATATGAGGAAGCATGTATATGTGTATACAAGTGTGTGTGTGTATATATATATATATATATATATATATATATATATATATATATATATATAGAATATATATATTCAGGCCAAAATTCAGCCAAGAATTGTTTCCTAGAACATTTGGGAAGCTTTAAGCTACATTTGTCTAGCATGAGCTCAGTTGTAAGTATTTATGAGATGTCATTGAGAGGCCTTTTTTTTTTTTTTTTTTTTCACACACACTGGATCTTTTACCTACATACAAAAGATGGCTCAGCATACCTCAAGGCCTTTTGACTGCTTCTGTGTTTGATGTCATGTTGCCCTTTTTCAGGTTTGAAGGGATAGGCAACTATCCTATGAATTTTGGCATAACAGTGTAACTTTTCTCTTATTTCTTTTCTCAGAGAATTTCATTTGTCATTTGCTCAGGTGGTGGTTGGGATAAAGGTGTTATCAATTTTTTTTTTTTTTTTTTTTGTAAGTGGATGTTTATATTAATGCCAAGTAGTTTTGTATATCACTTAATACTCAAGTGGTTTTTAACTGTTGACCTCAGCAGTTTTTATTTTAATAAAAGCTCATCTTCCCTTCTTTCACCAAAGTTCCTATATCTTAATGTTTTTTGCAAATTAAATTTTTTTTTTTTTTTTTTTTACAAATTAGTTGTGTATTGATATACAGAAATAAAATTCAAGTGTAGTATGTTTTACTTTTTACACTTGGAGCAAATAAACAGGTACTATACTTTAATCACAATCTCTAACTGAATTATGTTCTAAAAGAACAAAGTTTTTTATATTGGCTGTTTTAAAAATTATTTGAATTTGGTCAAACTTGACTTACATTTTAGGAGCATTCACTGATGAATAAACTATTTAACTATGGCTTGTAAAATCAGCACCGAGCTACAAGTCAATAATCTCAGTTCTTCTGTCACATTTATATTGTATTTGAATCTCGACAAATTCAATACCTTCAGTGCTAAGTTTTAACTCTTAGCTAAGAAGAGAACAGCAGTGATTCCCCAAAATAGTATTACTGGGGAAACATGTATTAGTCCCAACACTGTTTAGGACAAAATAGTTGTATATTTAGGCAAGAGTTCCTCTCTAATACAGGTTTCATTAAAAATGACTGACATGGTACTGCTGTTAAGCTTTTAGTGTTTTTCTTGTGTGCAGACATAAAATAAATTTATTTATTTTTTATTTTTTAAATTTTTTTTTTTTTTTTTATATATGTAGAACATATTTAAGAATTAAATGTCTACCTGAATAACTTGCACACCATTTGTAATAACACAATGAAAATCCTTGAAAATGGTTAGATTAGCTAAATGCACTTGAAATGAACAATCATTTGGATAATTTCTAGTTTGTTGTTTTTTTTTTTTTTTTTTTTTTTTTTAAGAAAAGAAAAAAGGGGGTCTTCACATAAAAGAAACAAAAATAACAGAAGTAGCCAGTCAGACATTTTTTATGGAACATGTGTTAGAACAAAATGGAGATGAGGTTAAAAAGAAAATAAGTGAGCATTTTGTAATTAACATTGGTACTTAAGTTGTAAAAACTATCAAAATTGTTAATCATGTTTAAATTAATAGTAAACTTTGTAGTGGTCAGTAATCAGTTTTTATCATTTTTTTCCAGCTTGAAAGAAAGGGCTCATTACCAAACATTGCTTAACAATGAAGTACATTTTAGTGACTGGAGGAGTCATTAGTGGAATTGGTAAAGGTGTCATTGCAAGCAGCATTGGGACATTGTTGGAGGCTTGCAAAGTTCGAGTGACATCAATTAAAATTGATCCATACATCAACATTGATGCTGGGACATTTTCACCTTATGAACATGGTAAGTACATTCCTCATTCATAATTTGTTTTAAGATTGTCAGCGGACCAGAAATTGTGCAAGTGTTTGTGACAAAATGGCTTATTATATCTATAAATTTATTTAATGCCTTTTAAAGCCAATGTTTGTTTATCCTCTCAATTTAACTGTTATAAATGTTTCCTAAAAGAGAGGCTTCCTTAATTTTCATGCATTTTGTATGCAGTACAAATTGCATGTTTTCTTGTTATATTACCTCCGTTCTTTAATAGTTGTTGCATTTGCATGTTTTTCTTTTACTTATTGTCAACACTTACTACTAGCTGTTTATGTATTTTATTTTTTTTAATCATTTCTCCCCAAGTAAGGTGATAATGTTACTAAAATGCAAAGGGTTACTGAGAGTGAAAGGGAATGAGAAAACTTTAAAAGTAACTGGAAACCCAATCCTAAACATTAAACAAGGGAAGGGGTGTGAACCAGGTGATACTCCGTCCCCAGCTATTGAACAATGATTGCTATAACTACAAAATTGCAATAAAAAAATTTTCCATTTATTTTTTTTATTATTTTTTCCCCCCTCCTCTTTCTTTCCAGGTGAAGTATTTGTGCTTGATGATGGTGGAGAAGTTGATTTAGATCTAGGCAACTATGAACGATTTTTGAACATCACTTTGCATCGGGACAACAACATCACAACGGGCAAAATTTACCAACATGTCATTAACAGAGAGAGAACTGGAGATTATTTGGGGAAAACGGTGCAAGGTAAGATTTATAGGTCTTAAACCTGTATGTTTTACATAACTTCACTTTTTGTTGCTATTCCTCCATAAGTTTTTGATCTGAGGAAGTTTTAGATGAAATTAGTTGAAACTGCCCCACGTATGAAGAGCGCGAGTTATAAGAGAAGTGACTTTTTAGGACTGACAACCAGCTCTTGCTTGTAGAACCCATAGCATTGTGTTGAATTGTTGATGGTTACAAATCATTAGTTTAACCCTTCCCAGTTCTGCAGTGTTGTGATCTATCTAATTATGACTGGTTGATAAGTTGGTATTTCAAAAACCATGACTCAGACTGTTGACTGGTAGCTGATTCAACAATTCAATTAAAAAACAAAAAGAAAAATATATCTTTGCACAAAATCTCGGCTATAAGTAATAGAAAACACACTGGGTTCTCTAGCCTTGATTGGCAACCAGTTAAGGAGAAGAATAACTATTCAAAGCCAAAAGATTGGATGTCGGTCTAGCAACTCTGTAATGAAAGCGCGTCAGGGTGGTTGCTCCATGCTGCACAATGTGTCTATCAGGATAAATAACAAATTGCATAGAATAGCTTGTTTGTTCATATTGCAAGTGACTTTGAGAACTTTATTTACTATACTTAAAAATGTCTATAAAAATAATACATTATAATTTATTTACAAAAATTGTGTAACATCCATCATAATTCTATTTTTATAAGTTAGCTTAGTAAATTTATTATTGCTATTGTTGGAAATTGAGAATTTGGCTGGCATTCAAATTGTTTATTCATTTCGTTTTTCATTCGGATAAAATGAATACAGCTTGCTAACAGTTACAATTGTTCTTTCTTTTCATAAAGAGAAACTAATTTTCTTTTGTCTCCTTTATCCAGTGGTGCCTCATATAACAGATGCTATCCAAGAATGGGTGGAAAGAGTTGCTAAGATTCCAGTAAATGTTGCAAATGAGACTCCAAATGTTTGCATCATTGAGGTAAGTTATTCATCTAACCCCATTACTTATTTCTACTGCTTCATTATGCCGACAATGATCCTTACTCAGTAAAAAGGGAATTTTTTTTTTTTTTTTTTTTTTTTTAAATTCATAATTACTTTAGAATTGGTGGTTAATCTTTGAGAAATTTCTTTTTCTTGGGTTTTCTTACCTGGCAGTGAATGGGAGTGTTTGTTTATTTATTTATTTTTTTTCATTAATATATTTACTGCCTAACAATACATATGTTCAATGATGCATACAAAATAAGCTGCACTATGAAGCAAGATCCAAACCCAGAACAGAAAATACACATTGATATTATTTTTATAGTTTAATAAATGTAATTTGCTTTATTCAAATAAAGCACAAGTAGTTTTATGCACAACTGAGTTTTAAATAGGGTAATTGGAATAAAATGAGTGGCTGGAAATTTTTTAAGAGCTATGAGGAAATTTCTTGAATATTTAATAAGATGGGTGGTTGGAATAAGGATGATTTGGGTGGATTTCTCTCCAAATGAATAATCATCTAGGCCTGTCTATTTGAAACACAAAGGTAGCTAATTTCTCTTGTCAGCTCCTATAACAACATTTGGTGGCATTATATAGTTATATCCAAGATGGTAGTAAATGTAATAAAATCTTGAATTAACTATTATTTTCCATCTCTAAATTCATAATTTAACCCTGGCTTCAGTTTAAATTGACATCTTATATATATATATATATATATATATATATATATATATAAAACTATAGTTATAGACTAAAAGTTAAAAATAAAAATTTATAAACAAAATAGTTCCAATATATGAGAAAGGCCCCAGTTTAAACTCATGCCAGAAGGATGTGTGTTCATTTTGAATGAAAAAAATTTGGTTCAACTGCTTAACTGTTATAAAGCTTGTTTATTTCTTGGGTTTTGTAACTGTAGAAATGTTTTTCATATGTAATACAGACAGCAAATATTTTCTTCCATATTTGTAAATAAATGTGTGTTTTGTTTTGATAGCTTGGTGGTACAATTGGAGACATTGAAGGTATGCCTTTTGTGGAAGCTTTCCGTCAGTTTCAATTTAGAGTAAAGAAAGAAAACTTCTGTAATGTCCATGTGAGCTTGGTGCCACAGGTAAGTCCTGTTCTCTATATACATAAAATATAAGGTTTTCTTAAGCTGCTAAAAATAGGCAAGCTTTTAGCTGTAAAATTTTCTTATTCATTTCATATAAGTAGGTGAAATTAAAGTTGACAGTGATTGGTTTTTCTCTTTTCTATATCTCTCTTAAAAACATGATATAATATAAAGTATGCTGGCTGACTTTTATCAGAAATAGGAAGAATGTGGTGAGAGGGTATTACCATCAAACATCACTTGATTATTTTCAGTATATATTTTGTACATTTTGATTTTGAAAGATTCTCCATTGGTAGATTTTCACTATTAATTATGCTTCAGAACATAAAATTATTTTGAATTTCAAATTATTTTTTTTTTAAAATTAGCCCAAAGCTACAGGCGAACAAAAGACCAAACCAACCCAGTCAAGTGTTAGGGAACTCAGAGGCCTTGGCTTGTCTCCTGATCTGGTAAATTTCTTTTGTTACTATTTTCTTCAAAAATCACTTGTTCTTGAAACTCTCAATGTGTTTACATTTCATTTTGATTTAAGATTATTTCACTTAAATGAACCCAGAAGATTAACCTCTTTTGAGTGAGATAATCCTTTGTACAGATTTCTGGATAAACAATTCTATATATTAAATAAAAAAAAAAAAAAAATCTGCTTTTAGCATATATTTTAAGGTAGTAAGGTTTAAATGTTAATACCAGCAAGTGTGTTATTCCGTAGAAATTCAGATGAAAATTTTTTTTAACTTATTGGTACACTTCTAAAATTTTCCTTTTTGCTTCTAGAGAATAATGTTTAAGTTTATAACATTATCTTCCTTTACTTGAGTTGTGTGTAATTTTTTTTTTTTTTTTTTAATTGTTTCCAATATGACAGAAATAAAATGTGCTTGACAAAATTTTAACCAGAAATATTTGGGATTGAAGAGATACTAAAGTTAGGATTGAGAATAGTTAAAATCTGACCCTCGGTCCTTAAATATTCTTTTATTTACCTATTTTAGGAAACCTGTACCATCACAGGTAGAACAAATGCAAATTTGCTCTAATTGATCATATAGTTACTTGGTATATACTTGCTGTAGAAGAATAAAACAATAACAATGATTGTATTTAATGCTGACTATTTGTATTTTGATATATATATATATATATAGGTAAGGTTTCAGTTTTTCTTATTACTACTCAATGATATTACTATTACTCTCCCACTTATCATTAGTCATTTTCTGCACTAACAAACTGTTTTGGATAGTGGGGGAATTAACATCAAATTTTTAACTAAGAATGTCTTAATTTTGGTATGTGTTTTGTAAGTTGAAAATGGTTAGTGGGGTGATTGTCTGGAGTGGGGGGCAGTGTTACTGGCTAAATAGTCTTGTAATTTCTGTTTGAATTTCTAGGATAAGATATCATCATAATTTGCATTATTTATATACAGACTATTGTTCTCACCTTTTTATCACGTTTTAGCTGTTGTGCTTTCCAGGCTTTCTTGGGTGCTTGTTGATCTGAGTAATCTTCAGGTAATTTCAAATTGGACCTTTACTTAATCTACTGCAAATATAGTTTCGAGTGGGGGGGCTTGTAGACTGTTCTTGTTCAGCTGACCATGTCTATGGATATCACATCTGGTTCTCTAATATTGTGCAATTTTTACTTGCCCAGTTTTCCACTTTTGAGATAATAACCTAGTAGATTTGTGAACTTAGTGGTATAGTATCTGAGTTCAGTCTCTGTGCTAAGGTGCATATACTTGATGGAAATAGGGTAGGCAATAACTGAGCAGTAAGATAAATGTGGGAACAATCTACCACTGTATATTAAATAAAATGTTCAGTTTGAAATTTTCTGAAAGTTACTTGGATTGGTATACACTTGAAGTCTGGAGGGCATAACGACCAAAATGTTTGATAATAACAGACTAGTCAGGATGTAAATAATTTAAATAGAGCTATTGTAGTTATTTATAGATATATTGATAGGCTAATGGAATTGGTAAATTGATTCCAATTTGCATTTACTTTGAACTCTTGGGAAAGGCATGAATCCATTTCCCTACTTAAGTAAATAGTAGGACAATTAATGCCTTTATCGTTCTGTATGTCACTTAATTTGCTGTACGAAATGTTTATCCTGCCACTGAAGGTGACTCTGATCCCTGAACACTCAGTCAGTCAGTTAAGTACCGTATGTGATACATGTTTGGGCAATCATGTATCTTTTGAAACATGACTGACGAGGCAGATTTTTTCCCCCACAGTAGTTTGCCATTTCTTTCTGCAGTAGACTGGTTGCCAAACAAGGCTAAATAAATGTCTGTCCTGCTATTCAACCTATAGCTGGGGGAGAAGAGATGGGTTTATACCCTTTCCCAAGGGTATTTGTGCATAAGTGAATCTAACAAATTCTACTGGAATTCAAACTCGGCTCTCTGAGTTCTCATCCCCCTGAACAATAGTGAGTTTAAATTTCATAGTTATTGTCATATCCTTCTATGGCAACAGAAAACAATTTTGAGTGAAATTATCAATAAGGGTATGCAATTGAGAAGCCATGAAAAATAATGCAGTGGGAAGATAAGTAATATCAATAATGCAGACTTCTAAAGGTTAAAGCCTTTGAATTCTGCAAGGCACTTCATATTTGGTTAGCAACCAATCAAAAAGACTTCTTACTGAAACTACAGCAATATCACTTCATGTGGTGGCAACTTTCTGCTTTACAAGGAGTCTGCAGAAATAAAAAATAAAAAAATTACTTTGCCTTGTTTAGTTTGAACACCGTCCTGAAACACTCAATGAGTATTAAACTTTACTATTCAGTAGTAAAGAACAGCTTGTTAACTTTTACATTTTGGCAATTCGCCTAAATAGGGTTAAGGTTATTTTTTTAATTTATAATCCCTTACATGACCTTACACTTTTCAATTAACTTCTAATTATTGCTTAATCTATCTCATAAATGCATAACTTTTATTACAGTGATGTTTGTATCAAAGTTTAAAACAGAAAAATGGGTCATTCAAAGGATCTAGATATTGGTATTAAATCTTGGCATTTCATTTCTTCATGTATTTGTCTTCTGTTATGTTTTTCAAGATTGTCTGCCGCAGTGAAGGAAAAATCCCTGCTTCTATTCGAGAAAAAATCTCCCTATTTTGCCATGTTCCCCCGGATCAGGTAAGTGTATGTGTTCATTTTGCTTATGTTCTTGGTATTTAATGGAAATTTCTGTTACTGCTTGTTGTATCGCAACATTTGCTATTTACAGAATTTGCATGATTGCTTTTGAGCAAATCTTTTTCTTTATAAATGAGGTAAGTAATTGCCTCTACCTGTATGTATATATTCAAACAGGAATACTTTCTATTTGAAATAGAGGCCACATTTTTATGTTATTAAACAGTGTGTATTATGTCTATTAGCCTGCACATTGGAGAAATTTTAGTAATGGAAGTGTGTTCTCTGGCAGGGATTGAAGAGAATATACTTTCCTTAAAAAAGGTGAAATAGATCCTTGCTTACTGTGACATTCATTGTGACTGAGTGGTAAAGCACACTGAAACAAATGGTGGTTTCTCCTACAAAGGTGGATGCAGATCCTTGCCAGTGAATTTTCGTTACTAAGATTTTTCGAATGTACAGGCTAATAGACATATAGTACACACTACTTAATAAGTGTCCGCTATAATAATGTCTAAAGTAATAAAAAAAATGTTGGCTTAGGAAATAGACACACACCATATTTTAACAATGGTAGAAGGGCTATAAGTTTTTTTTATTATCTTATTTATGAAAAGGTATGTACTTTTAAATATAGCACGAATACAAAATGTTTGTAGTATTCTGGGTTAAAGATTGTAAGATTCACTCTTATGTTAGGTAACTTGAACATTTTATTATTATTATTATTTCTTTATTGAAATTCAAGGTCATTCAAACTAATTTTCAGCTTTTAGATTTCAGCCTTTAAATAAACATTTCTCCAATTTCTTTTTTATATTTGGACTTTTTTCTTTTTTTTCTTTCCTCGGTCCAGGTGATTTCTATATTGCGCCTACAGGGTGTGGCAGAAATACCTCTCACATAATGGTAAGATGTTAGTGGCAATGGTGTCTTCATCTAGCTAATGTCTTACCATTATGTAGGAGGTATTTCTGCCACACCCTGTGTAAATTAGATAGGAATTTGTGAAGGACAGATATAAATTTCTGTACATTAGCAATATGTTAAGATAATTGTCATATGATTTCCTTTCTCAACCAAATAATTGTTACAAATTGCTCAGCAATTTTAGTGCCTCTTCTCAACCAAAGGCTTTTCTAGAGCATCTTGTACGATGAATGAGATTTTGAGTGTTCATCATGCTGCTAATCATATCATTGGCTGTTTGATATCCTTTGTACCATTATGAAACCTACTTTGTGCTTAAGTGCATGCTACTGTGCATAAACTAAGAGGTGGGGGGAGAAAAAATGGACAATGGGTTGTGAGTTTAATTAAAAAGAATAGTTTGTCAAGATTATTAATCAACTGATTAGTTCTGTCTATGTAATTGTGTGCCTTAATACTGAGCTTACGGATAACATGAACTTGACACATAAAAATGTTATCATTTATGTTCTGAAATATTATAAGCTTGAAAATAAATTTAAAAATACAATTACAAAATTACTATCAAGAATTTATCTATAACAATGAGTAAGCAGGTTGATGTGCTTGTGTGAGTTTTAGAATCACTAATATGTCATAAACCAAAGATCTTTTGTTTGTTGGTAGAATTGTTAAAATACCAATTTGACTTGTCTTTGTGTTTATGGATTTGTCATTGAAAATATCAGTTAAAGTGAGAACAAGAAATTGAACAAAAGCCATTAAGTTTGTACTTGTGTCATCCTTCTTTCACTCGACCTCCATGAAGATCACTAAATCCAAAATCACACACTGCATTTTCAATGGTTGAATAGAATGCATTTCACCAGAGCTATGTACAGTTTCAAATTCAGAGTTGCCCTTTTAGACTGTTTGCCAGACATGGCTAAAGAATCCATCTTGCCCTGCTATTTAACCTATAGTTGGTGTGTAGGAGGAACTCATTTTATCCAACCATCTGGAAGAATATGAATAGGAATGTTTTAACAACCACTTGTTTCTGCTTACACTGCCTCTAGCTCATTTTTTTGTTGTAATTTATTTCTTAATTACACCCCTATATACACATAAATGATATGACCTGATTGCATTGTTCTGCATATGTACAATAATTACCTGATAAGTTAAATATATTATAATATACTGATTTGGGTTAATTTAGTTACATGCACACTGAATTTTAAATTAGTTTAAATGCACTTAAAAGCTTTATATCAGATTGACAACCAGAAATGGTTATGTTTTTAGTGTTAACTCCACTTAACATTCCTATTGGAATGAGCTAAGATCATAAAATGTCCAACACCAAATTTGTTTCAAATTCTTATTTTGAAATTAATGACTTTTAGTTATCAGGCATCAATGTTTTTAGTTGTACAAATTTGACCACACTATTCACCAGGATTCAGTAAATTTTATAAAATATATACTTTATAATTAACACTACAAATGTAGCTTGTCTGGTAGAAATTTCTCTCAAATTTTTCCTGCAGTTTTGTAAACGAAATCTTGTCTTCACAAAAAAAAAAAAAAAATGTCATGCTATGTGCGTAATTTGGCTTATTTTATTGGTTTGTTCTAGCTCAGTAGTTTTGAATACAAATAAATCTGTTCAAAAACAAAGCCCTGAATATTAATATTGAGAAACGCTTTTTTATTTTTTTTTTTTTTACAATTGTAATTAGTTCAAATCTAACATGGCATCTCGGTTCAAAACTAGTTGATAAATGGCTTATGCTTGCAGAGTAGCATAGTTGAGCTTGTTTTTTGCAACAGTAAATATGTTGATCAGCATGAAATTGCCAATTTAAACTACATAATTTTTTATAAACTGTTTTTGCATTTTGTGTTCAAGAAAGTGTGTTGTTGCCAGTTTAAGGGAAATAACTTGTTGCATTGGTGACATGTCAGACATTGAACTAAAATAAATATAAATCTTACAAATTCTAACTTTAACAAGTTAGCATTCTTTTTTTTCTTTTTAAATTCATTCAGAGGTTAAGTGAATTTTTAGTGCATAAAAATCCATGATTCAATTTGAATAATGTTCATACACATATATATATATATATATATATATATATATATATATAATTTTTTTTATTCAAACTGCTTGAGTTTTGAATGAATTTTCAAGCTGGTTGACATAGCTATATGAATTTAGGTATCAAATGCTCACTAACTTCCTTTGTATTTTTTTTTTTTTTTTTTTTTTTTTTTTTTGGAAAATCTATTGAAAATCTTTACAATGTCATGCCATTGAGCATATTCTATGCATAACTTGTTAATGATTTGTTCCTTGTTCAATTCGAACAAATTGATTTATGGATCACATCACATACAATAAGTTGTGAAAATGTTTGAAATGGTTCTAATCTATACATTTAAAAAGTTCTCTGCAAATTTTTTGGCATGATTGATAAGTGATTTTTTTTTATTTTTTTAAATAGAAATCTTTCCATTCTCATATGATGACAAATATACAATTTATATTTGTTGCTGCTTTGGTTCCATTTTTGGTCAGCGTAAAGCATGAATCCTCAGCTAAGAATTTTCATCTTAACCAAAAGCACAAATAATTACAATAAACTTGAATAGATATTTAAAGCTAAAATATAAATTATAAAATATAAAATAATTTGAAAGTAAAAATGTCAAAACAAAGACAGTAAATTCATGTTGAAACAGATCTTGCTTTGAATGTGTTGCTTTTTCTTCTTAGGCCAGACCTGTACATTCTAATATTTATTTCTTAATTTTAATTGTTTTTTCATCACAGCTCAGTCTACATCATCAATAAATAACATGGATCAAAAATAAAGAATAAGCTCCAGGTGCAACATTAAATCCCATCACTTATACTTTTGGAAGCCTCTACCCATATATGGACAGCCATTCATTAACTGATCTATCAGAGCTTTGTGATTGGCTGATAAATCAAATTTAAACTTATTTCCCTGAGTACTTGGTAGCATATCATTGGTCATTGTTTTCTACATACAGTACTAGAAATAGTAAGAGGGATGTGAGTCTGCCTGGAGAATAGTTTTTGTTTCTGATTTGCACTGTTCATTCATTGCCGTACTGTCATTTTGAGTAAAAGTGATGAAAAGCAACTAAAATTAACACATAAATTTGATAAGTTTTATCAAAGGAGGGATTGTCAATCATTACTTTTGCATCAAGATGAAATTTGCATCTTAATTTAAAATTTTAACCAATACTCCATTGTCTAACAATTTCACTGTAAGTATAATTACTGTAAAGAGACAGGTAAGACTATATTACTCCAGCCTTGCTAATATTGTTTTTTGGTAATTTTTTATTATCAATAGTAAAAGAAATGGTACTAATTATTGCATGGCCCTCTTTTGATATTAAGCATATTCCTAAAAACAATTCCTAATTATGTTAAAATTTATAAGAAAATTTTAATAAAATTGTGAGTTATTACTAAAAAGCAACCATAACATTAACTATAATATTAAAATTATTCTTTCTGTATTTTGTAGTATAAAATTCTATCTACTAATAAAGCAGGGAGGCTGTTGAGATTAAAAAGACGAGAACTTTGCTTTTTTAAATATTCTTGTCAGTGATAAATTATTTTGCATGACTTCATTTTGTTAATCTGTTAAAACTATTTAAATTTTAATTAAAAAAAAAATAACTTTTCAATAAAGAAAATTGTATCTTCAGGTTGTATAAAAACTACAAAATGAATTAAGTTTTAACTTGCTTCGATGTGTTGTTGTTTTTTTTTTTTTTTTTTTTTTTTAACCTCCAGGAGAGAACCATATTGGGAAGATGTGCTGAAAATGTAATTTTAACATGCATCTCATGAATTATCACAATCAATTTAACTTGTGTCAGATTAGGCCGTGGATTTTAGGGGATTCTGCCATCTGGGGTACTCTAAAGATTAAGCATTATTTCATTTGTAAATGCTAAATCAGTGTAAGTACAGTAAATTATCTATTTAAGGAATTGTTATATTATTCTGTGTGCATGTGTTATCTTTTTAAAAA